TCTACAAGAATAGATGCCGGGCAATGTGTTATATTGAGTAATTCAATAAGCCTCCATGTTCCTAGCCAATATCTTTGTTCATGCCTTTTACTAATTCCTAAAATCGATTTGACCTTTTCTTTCACAAAACCACGCAGGGTTTTGTGAGTTGGATACCTATTCTTATTTCGTTTATACTCTTCTGCCAGCATTACGAGTAATGTTAAGTATGCGCCCCTAAGCTCATACAACAATTTTAACATTTTCTCTTCGACTTCCGTCTTTGTAGACTTAAGTTGACCATACTGTGAAGCCCATTCTTTAAAATAATTCTCCAATGATTCCATATTGAGCGAATAAGAAGGTAATGGTGGAAAAGAAAAATTAATAACATTGATATCATTAAAAAGGTGACTAAAATTTGTGATCAGAAGATCTTCTATTGATCTGTTCTTTGAAAAAAGTTTATCGCCATACACTATTAATTTATTTTTTTGTACAATCTCAAAGTTATTATTTAAGAGGCGTGCTTTATTTTTCTCAATTTCATTAATAGTACCTGTTGAATTTATTTAAAAGCATTAACTTTAAACTTTCGAATAAATTATCTTTGTGATAACTTACTACTTATTTGCAATTCTTCAATTGCAGCATCAGATGACGTTGATTTGTCTTCTTACAGTTATCAATGAAAATATATTAATTATAATTTTAACTACGTTAAATTTGAACAAAAATGACGGTTTACGTACTATCAGAATCGGTTTCGGATGAAGAGGTGTGTTGCATTTGTGTTTTTTTTTTTACGTGAAATATTTAACGAAGCCTTAGGCTTTCTTTTTTTTGATTTCTTTAAAAAAATTTCTTGTAAATATAAAGAATAATTTTTATACATTTAATAAAAATTTTTACCGGTTTATTAACACGCAAAGGTTTACTGTTCTTTTTTGGGAGAAGTGAATCATCAGACTGCTCCTTGAATTTCGTGCTAAGTTAGGAATATTCAAATATTAAGTTTTTGAAAGAACAATTTATACCTGTTGATCGTCGGCTTCTACTTGAATTTCAGATGGTTGTTCATTAACTTTCGATGATTCACTATTATCATCAATAATCTTATTCTCAGAGTCATCAATTTGTGGATGAGCTTCCTTGCTAAGATTTAAAACTTAATAATTAAATATCTGATAATGTCAAAATACTATAAAAATATTCAATTACTTGATTCTTGTGGATATTTTCTCGAAAATTCACAGCTTTCTAAAGAAATTCAGCTTTAAGTTAGCATAGACAAAATTTAAAAATCAAAATAAAAAAATTATTACATTTCTTTTCGTTGCTTTAAAAAATTTGCTTATAGATTTTCGATTATCTTCGCTTTGTTGGGCAGTATTTGCTTCCTTTTTTTAATTTTATTGATTTTTTTATAATAACGTCAATAGATTAACTTAAGTTTAAAAATAGAAAATTCTTACAATATTGTCACTTGGAATTAAAACGATGGGATATTGATTACTCGATGCATTTGCTATTTCAACGTATGTATGCTTTAAATTACCAAAAAAAAAAAAAAAAAAAAAAAAAAAACGGTTAAACCGTTATCTGCTAAATTCGATTATTAAATACGTAGATTTTTACCTGATTATCTTGAGAATCGATTTGTTCATTATATCGGTCTAGAGACACTGCAGATTGCCCTTGTGATGATACCTGATTATCGAACATTGATTCATCCTCATTTATCTTTATTATTATTATTTTAATACAAATTCATTATTGCTATGTTCAACTTAATATTTTTTATTTTCATTTTTATTTTTTACCTGGTTTTTCTCCGTGTGTTCAACATAATTCGTTTGTGCCATAGCTTCTGGACGAGAATTCTAGGACATTTTTGAGTATTTTTCTGAAATAAAAATAATAAACAAATCTTTGAATTGCCGGTATTACCTCTTCCAAGGAAACATTATTAAGCAAATCATGAATATCGCTATGAATAGGTTCATCCGCTATCCTTTGGTAACTTTTTCCATTTAAAAGAACAGTGCTTGGTACGTCCAGATTCTTGATTGTTGTACAACCATGGTTTAAGGTAGTTGTAAATTCTAAAGGACCATTGAATGTTGCTGATGAATTGTCATCCCAAAACAATTTAATCGAAATGTTGATAATTTCTTTTTCAACCATTGTAACTTGAAAATTTTTTTGCGAGAAAATAAAAAAAGGTTTAAATGATTATTGACTTTTTGCTATTATTAATGATTTTTCGACTGATGTATTTTAACCTTTTGGCTATTATTAATGATTTCACTCTGACGTAATCTAATTTTTTTGATTAATGTGATCATTTTTCAATCAATTATAAAGTTTATAATGAATGACTTTTTTTATTTCCCATTTCTCTTTCATAACAAATATCAACATGATTAATTGTGGTTTTTTGTAATAAATGAATGCTTTTTTTATTCCTTTTGATTATAATTCCATATTCATAACGATAACAAGTACCAACATTATTACCTAAATCAGATCCTTCAGGTCTTAATCAATAGCGATAATTGTACCTAAATAAAGTTCATTCATTGTTACTATGCAAACAGACTATCACGTGCGTTAACGGAAGTGCCTTTTTCTTACCGGTATTGCTACTGTATCGCTATCGCTATTGATAAAAAAAAAAAAAGCCAAGCCTTTTTAGAAATATTCATGTATGATAATCATATTATTTACGTCACGATATGTCCCGGATTTTTATGGTCTGCAAG